CCTCGTGCCCGCCGGCCATGTGGGGACCGGGCGCGGGGCTGCGGGAAGCCCCTCGGTCCCTCAGGGAGGAGCCAGCAAAGAGAAATGCTGCGGACATAATTGTCCAGGAGCACGCTGGAAGAACACCGAAGTGAACAGGTGTTCACCGAAGTGCGCTCAAGGTCCGCTCCTCTGTCTCAGCTTTATTATGACAGCACGCGTCGTCATCTTTTTGGAAGGTCTGGACATGTATTTGGTAACTTGAAGCATCAATAAACTCTTTCCTATCACAAGGTAAAGCTAAAAATATGTATATACGAAACAATAAAATTAATAAAGTCTTACTCTGTTCAGGCTTATGTTAAATACTGCCACAAATAGAAGAAATAAAGTAAAACCAAAAAATTCTGACAGCATAGAATTTTTTTTTAAACAATAATTTGGAACTTCGAGGGGACTTGCATTTCTGTCCCAAACCAGAATTTCTTACTGGAAATAACTAGGCAAGACAGCCTTGACAACGTAGGACTCCTGTGTAACAGGAGAGCCTGTCCATCAGGAAACTTATCTCAGAAAGGAAACCAAAAACCTCAACAGAGCTCAGAGAGACCTGTGGCTGTGAAGTGTGGCTGCTGCTCCTTGGTGCCAGGAGGAGCAGGACTTCTGCTGTGCCATGTACTCCTACGAGGTTTAGAAAAAGGGTATGAAGAATGAGATGTCAATGTCTTGAGACAGTGAAGGAACTGTTTAGGTTAACCAAACACAGGAGACAAAGCAGTGCAGAAAAATCTTGTGATGACAAATCGGTGGGTGACAAAATTGCAAATGAAGGTTAGTGCTAGTAAGTGCAGAAGTAAAGCATATGGGAAAAAAACCCCAACCAAACCCTAATGATACCTGCACAACAAAGGTTCCAAAACAGTTACCGTTCAGGAAGGAGTACGTAACATGAAGTTATGTGCAGTTATGTAGAAGAGTGGCAAATACAGAATTGGCCAAACAGCCAAAGTGTGAGTGACTAACTGGGAAAGGAATAATCAAATAGAAAATTAAAATCCTGACACTGTGTGAGTGCATGGGGTTTCCACAGGCTGAGCCCTTCTATTCTCTCACCATCTCACCTAGAGAATTGGACTAAATAGAAAACAAGGCTATTTAGAGGCATGGAGCTGCAGTTGCAGAAGGTGACTGCAAATAGAGCAGGATTCTTCTGTCTGGAACAAAAAACAAACGAGGGCAATGCTGGAATCCTGTACAATTACAAACCGTGTAGAAAAGAGAAAATGTAAGTCTTTGCTATTTCTTGTAACATCAGTTGTGGGGAGGACTTGGTGACAGGAGCAGGTTTAGAAGAAACAATATTCTATACTCCTTAAATGATACTACTTGCAGTCAGATGTGGGGTACACTGATGTAGGAAGTTCTGGAGACAGAACATAGATCTGGGTCAGAAATGGCTTAGACAGTTGACCTGACAGAACCTGCAAGGGGTTGGTGGGACTTGGCTGATCCTGCATAGCCAGCGGTGCTGCATGCTGTGCATCGCCCCAAGCTCCAGCCCAGCTGACCAGCATAGCCTAGGGCCGGTGAACCCTTCACACCACCACCACCAAATATGATGGATTACCACACCAGACACTTACCACAAAATCAGGATCAGTGTCCCAGTCGTCTCCCTGAGCCTCAACCTTCACTGACACGTCATGTCCCACGACTGCTTTCCACATCTGCACAAGGAGGACACGGTATCACCCAGAGCCAGCATGTGGGCACTGTTGGCTCATGGCCACAGACATGCCAGGCCACAGCAGTCATGGCGTAACTCGGGCTGGTAAGGACCCTTGCAGGCCATCTTCCCCGCTGATCTCTGTCCCTCATGCAGCACTGGGCACCCCAGAAGAGCTGCTCTTGAACCCCAGCACTTCTTTCAGCAGAACACGCAGGATTTTAAGTGTAAACCATGGTCTTCACACACACTGACTCCACAGTTAAAATGCACACCTTATTTTAACATAAATTGGCACTAGCATTCAACTTCCAGATTCTGCATTTCCAGCATACATTAACTTTCTGTGTTGCGAGAGACTGGTCCCTGCTTTCACCTCCCTTCCGTTAAGCACAGTCACGGCACACCACCAGAGGCCATGACGCTCTGCCGCCATGATGCAATGCTTATTTACCTGAGGTTGGACTCCTGCAGTTTCTTGTCTGTTTTCCAAACTTTTAATTACTGCCTAGTGTGCTAAAAAAGGTCCAGAGAAAAGCTGTATGCTGGTCTGACAGTGCTGGTACAATACGCTGTGCGGTGTTTATGTCTGTCATACGGTAACAACAGGAAATGGGGCTAAAATCATGAAGTGTGCAGGGCTGAAAAGGCTGAAGCTGCGGCAGTACGGCTTGTGCAGGCTGTCCAAAGAGGCCTGGAGGAAGTGATAGGCCCAGGAAGAGGAAGTTAAATAGAAGTAATGTGAAATCTAAAACTCCTGCATTTCATTTTCAAGGTGACTGTGAAAGAAGATGATGAAGAAGCCTCTCCCAAACAGCACAGTTTTTACTAAACAAGAGACAGAAGAAAGATTACATGGCTTGCCTGCCCCTACACAACAGAACAAACATTTTCAGCAGAGCTCTCGTGTCCCACCACCTATTACTGCCTGTGGTGTCGGAGAAGCCCCAAATTGTTCTTACTGCCACCCACAGCAGCTTTTCCCTGGGACAGAGAGAAAGACTGAACAGAATGTGCAGCAAAGACTGGGCTGCTGAGCCCTGTTTCGCATCACTGCAAACATCATGTAAACCTGTGAACAAACGAACAGGAGGGAAGAGCACTGCTTTGAGAGGGATTCTCATTTAGCAGCACGCTTTCATGATGTGCTCCTCAGCAGCGCTAACCCCTCAGTCCCACAGGGGCAGGTAGCCCACAGACTGGCCCCAAGCGTCCAGGACAGTTGCTTTCTGTGCAAGCAAAATGTTTATGCTGAACAAGGAGTGAATTGTACAACACACAAAGCTGGTAAGTGAGTAACTTTCCAGTTCAGTACAGTCACCATTCCCTTCCGTTTCAAGCTGTCCTTACCAGTTGTCTAGAGAATCAGCACTGTAAGACCAGGGAGCAAAGGCAACAGAAACTAAAAGAGCACAGCAGGGATGAGCCTTTCTTTTGTTAAAGAAAAGCCAGATAGCTAGGGGAGAGGATGTAGGATCAAGGAAGATTTACTGTGAGGATCCAGCTTTCAGCCCTCCCCAGGCTGCCTCAGGGGGAAAAAAATAAAAAGTTGTCATACTCCAGAACACACAGGTCTGTGACGTACACTGCTGTGCTTGTATGCACTGACAGTAATCTTATGACAAATTTAATGTAGCCAATTGCAAATAGAAGCAGGGGAAGCAGGAAGGTTCATGTGGACAGCATAGCACAATCTAACAATACCTTTCATCTCCTTTTCCCTTCCCTAATTCATTAGCATCTCTCACTCCAAAGATTTGGAAAGCTTGTGGCTCATTTTTGTTAATGCTAGAACAGCAGCAGTAACCAACTGTGCAATGGGGCAGCTCACTTGAGCAGCTAGCCCAAATGCAGGCGGTTCAGGGGTTTAAATCCTGCTGCAAACGGTTCTTGACCACCTGCTCTCCAAAGTCACCCACCATGCATCTTGGGAACCATGACAAACCACAGGCTGTAATCACACCACAAGGCTCCAGAACAGCATCTCAGCCATTTAGTTTCTCCCATTTTTCCCCTTGAAAGCATCCACTACTGCACAAATACAGGGCTGCCACACTTAGCACAGTCGTGCTGGTTGATCTGGAAACATGGTCCTTTCGAACACAAGAGCCACAATGATGACCGAAGAACAGACTGAGAAGCAAATGCCGAGCACTACCAATGCACACATGCTGGGTCAAGAAGTTCTCTTTGCCCACCAAAACTCTGCATTTTTTTTGTTGCTTTTTTCCCACTTTCCACTCTGAAATCTCACTCAGCTTTCTTACCTTAAAAGGCTCACCAGCTCCTGCCGACAAACTTGCTGCTTTCTGCGCAGGCACCTGTTGCTAGCGACAGCTTTTGGACTGCTGTGTGCTCC